GTCCTGCCGCAGCACAGGGGGTGTGGCAGGAGAAGCCAGTGAGGGAGGAAGGCCAGGGGAGGAGGACAAGGGAGGGAGATGGCAGAAGGCTATGTGTACAGAGGGATGCTGAGGCAAGGAAGACATTGACACCTGGCTGTAGGAAATGCTCGAAACTGCAGGCAATAATGAAGCCTTAATGGAAAGGAATTATCCTGTCTGAGAAGGGCATGCCCCGGGCTCCCTTCCCTTTAGGCTCAAACAGTTGATGCAAAGACTCTTCTGGTATGGCAGGAGCTGGGGCAAGGCCACAAACAGCCAAAGATGCTACGATATCATCTATCTGCTCCAGGTGTGGGGACTCACTTGAATAAATTCCACACCAGGCACTAGGGAGCAAATTGTCCCACTCTGGAGAAACCTGACATGGAATGGATGGAGTTATATTGACTTGAAAAATGTCTGATTTGCCATTGGGGCAGGAGGAGTTGTGGGAGTCAGGTGGGAGCTTGGCTCTGCCCTGTAAGGCAGTTTTTTTTCTGGAACCCACAGGATGATGGAGATGGAGGTGGCAGTCTGAAGGCTTCCAATGGACTGCCCAGAGGCAGCTCTGAAACAAGCTGGAAGCCAGGCAGATGCTGTAACATGCAGGTTTGCAAGATCCAGGCTTGCAGCAGAGGAGGAGGACAAGCCTTCTGCACACCAAGGGTCTACCCAGGACCTTGGTGTTAGATCCTGAGGGTTCACGAGATGAAGACTGCGTGAACAGGAATAGTGTGGCCAGCAGGAGTAGGGATGTGGTCGTCCCCCTGTACTTGGCACTTGTGAGGCTGCACCTCGAGTATTGTGTTCAGTTTTGGGCCCCTCAGTACAAGAAGGACATTGAACTGCTGAAGCATGTCCAGAGAAGGGCAATGAAGTGGTGAAGGATCTGGTGAACAAGTCTGACAAGGAGCAGCTGAGGGAACTGAGATTGTTTAGTCTGGAGAAGAGGAGGTTGAGGGGAGACCTTATTGCTCTCTACAACTACCTGAAAGGAGGTTGTAGTGAGGTGGGTGTTGGTCTCTTCTCCCAAGTAACAAGTGATAGGACAAGAGGAAATGGCCTCAAGTTGTGTCAGGGGAGGTTTAGATTGGATATTAGGAAAAATTTCTCCACCAAAAGAGTAGTCAAGCATTGGAACAGGCTGCCCAGAGGGGTGGTGGAGTCACCATCCCTAGAGGTGTTCAAAAAACATGTAGACATGGCACTTCAGGACATGGTTTAGTAGACATGGTGGTGTTGGGTCGATGGTTGGACTTGATGATCTTAGAGGTCTTTTCCAACCTTAATGATTCTATGATTCTATGAAGAAGGGCAGCTCTTCAGAGAGACAATATTATAAGACACCTGGGAGCCCCACACCAAAGGGGTCTTGTAGATACACAAATGCAGGTGTAGCGCTCTGCATGGCACTCAGTGCCACTAGACGGATGAGCTTTGACCACCCAGGTCAATAGAAACAGGGAGAATGGCATTGCTATGGTGAAAGGTGTGGACTACAGCCACGGTCATCCTTGTATGGAGGCAAGGGCTTACGGAAACTGCCTGGGTCCCAGGGAGCAAGGAGCGCACATAACAGTTCCACCTGAATTAGAGAAGAGTCATAAAATATTTAAAATTAAGCATGTTCTGAAATACCGTGTGGTTTTGACTTCTAGCTGCGTACAAGCTGCTTGGATTCTTACACACCACAGTGCAAGTTTGCCATGGGAGACTTAATGACCATCTAGTGGAATATGTCCTTGACCATGGCAGGGGGTTAGACTACATGGTCTTTAAAGGTCCCTTCCAACCCAAACCATTCCGTGACTCTGTAACAAACTTTCACCAAATGCCTGTGGTCTCCTACACATGAAGATCTGCCTGCTTCTCCAAGAGCTCTCTGGTCAGTGTCAGCATTTTGTTTTCAACCCGCCTGCTCCCTTTCCTCCTGGGCATCTGTCTATCCCTGAGGGTGCTCACATTAACCCTGTCCTACTGCAGTGGGTGTTGTACAGTCCCTAAGCTCTGCCACAGTAGCACAATGGGACCAGAACAAAAGCCAAAGTTATCCCCATTACTTTTTCCAAATGTGTTGACCTTGAACACATCTCCTATGACAGAGAAGGCTCCAGATATGCCACAGGCTGGGTCTAGCTGCAGCCATGCTTTGGCCTTGCAATGCTCCCAATTTCAGTGTTTCTGCTCCTTGTTTCTTAACCACTCACATCTTGATTGGTCATATCCCAGTAAGGCCGCTCGCCATATGACATCACCTCCCACATGACTATTCCATAGCTCCACACATCACTGGCCGATGTGAATTTTCGGTACTGAATTGCCTCCGGTGCTGTCCACCGTATTGGGATCTTCCCACCCTGCAGGAAAACACCAGAGAGGATGGTAACAGAGACAGCAAGAGTAACTGAAAAAGACAAGTGTCCAAAATATTCATCTCCAATATGCTGGTGAAATCCTAGAAGGAAGGGACCACAGGACAATCCCTAACATCAGGGAGGCTGTGGCTTGTCCAGCCAAGTCTGGGAAACCTTCAAGGATGATGATCCCCTCCCTGATTTGGTGACCTGTCCCAGGGCTGCACCACCCTCTTGGGGAAGCACCTTTTCCTGGTATTCACCTTGACCCTCCCAAGGCACAGTTTCTGCCCCTTATTGTATCATCTAGTACCACTGCAAAGGGTTTGGCTCTGTCTTCTTCATAACTGCCCTTCACGTACTGCAGGTCACTTACAGATCTCCCCTCAGCCTCCTCTTCATCATATTAAACAAGCCTAGCTCCTTCCACCTGCCTACTGCTACAGCAATCTTCGGCATGACAAAACGCCCATTGTGCTAGTAGGGTCTTCTGTAGAAAAATGAATGGCTATGAATGTAGAAAAATCCAAACTGATCCCCTCTGAGTCTCCCTCTATCCTTTTGCTATCACCTAGCTATCTCCAGAGCAGAATAAAAGGAATTAGAACACCTTCTTCAGCTTTCTACACGTGTAGACTCTTTGAAGTCAGTGATACATCATCCTCTCGAGCTGAAGTCCTTGTGTGTCAGTCTGTTTGTTGATATATACATTATCCAGCAGTTTTTGATCCTGCCCATTTCTGGAGACAGGCGGAGTGAACATCCTCTTTAGTGTGGCATGCTTGGTAACTGGTGGGAAATGAGATGGACTGGGTGGGCACTGGGGTCTCTGTGATCCTGCCGGGCAACAGCAGCTCTGGAGAAATCAGGACTCTCCACTCCCATAGAGGAGTTATGCACAGAAGTGCACAAGAGTGGCGTACACAGCATGGGGCCACAGGGATCACAACGCTCTGCTTAAGCCCTTACAACCTCCTGATCTTCCACCAGGGTCTTTCGACTTGAGCCATTCACAACTCAAGTGACCTTCTGAAGGAAAAATCTTCCCCTGTGCTGGAAAATAAGCAAAGTCTGCATTTTGTGGTTGTGAGAAGATTAAGGAACATTATATTTTGTCACTGAATAACTACCATGTCTTATTAATGGTTTCCTAGGGCTTAATAGCACTCAGACCCTAGACATGCTAGAAGAATGAAAAAAAAGTTAATGTTCCTTAATCTCACAGCCACAAACCTCAGACAAAATATTTTGTTTTCTACAAAAGGGGGAGACGAAGCATTCCATACCAAACATGATGTCCTCTCCACCAGGCATACTCTTAACAGAGCTCCTGACAAGCAGTGAATGTAAAAAATAGATAAAAAAGAAGTCCTAAAGCAGAAATTGCAGGCTGGGTATATTTGGAGGATCCTCATGGGAACTCACTTCAGTGAGACCTCCCACCTCTCTGGTGATCTGACCCAGAGCTTCACCACCCTGTTGGAGAAGGAGATTTTCTGAAGGTCCAGCATGAATCTCCCAAGCCATAGCTTGTGGCTGTTGTCCAACCATGGACACAAGGCCTCTGGGATAAGTATAATTAAAAACATTCATGCATATTGGGACATTTGAGGATGGTGCATTTTGAAGAGGAAGATACTATTACTTCTGGTACTCTGTTATAGCAGGTGCACATATTCTATGGGTATAGATGGTATACGTCCCGCTACAGTGCCCATAGTTCAAGAAGAATAAATTAAAGATGACAGAGAGAAAACCTACAGGAACTATAACAGGAACAGAAACAGTATTAAACACCAGGAGCTCCCATGTACTTAACAAAAAGAAAGTTAATTGGGTGTAAGGATCGTGTTGTGAAAAATACACATTGCTAGTGTTTCTAAAAGCCAGAGAATGATTGTACGAGATCGAATGGTTGATGTCTGAAGCTATGCAAATTCAGATGAGAATAGAAGTGCACAATTTTAGGTGTTAGGTATTCAACTACTGTTCACTAAGAGTTATGCCAGACATCACTGGCAGCTTCAAATGATCTGGGAGAGATGACTTCCTACAGATCATGCCCCAGCTTTATCAACACTTATTTCCAAGAAGTCCTGTCATAGGCATTATCTGTAGGCATTGATCCTGTAGCATCAATGTAGGGCAATACGGTCTGCCTTTGCAAACAACGGTATCTGTGACAACTCCTGGCTGCGACAAAGTCTTCCAATTATCTTTTAGTCCCAGTGCATGTTCCGTAGCCTGAGATGGACCACGAGTCTCAGTAGTGCTTGTGTCACTGGCACCGTGGCGTTCCTGGGAAGCTGTTACATGATCATGAAGCCATTTCTGGGACTGTTTCTCTGTCAAATTCAGACAGACTCTCTGGGAGATCAGTATCTAATGCTGCAGGGCTTCACCCAGCATGTATCCATGCTTCAGTCTGTTGTTCTGGGCTGAGCCCTTGACATGACATGAGGAAGGATCATGGACTCCCGGAGAGCAGGGCAGCACGACTGGACAGGGATAGTAAAACACCCCGAGACTTGCTGCACTGGCAACAGATCTGTCAGGGCAGCATCTTGGAGGACCCCCAGCTGGGTGGGTATAACGCATCATCCCAGCTAAGGGCTTTATCAGGGACATGAATATGTTTGCAGACATGTTTAGAAGAAGGCTCAGTTATACACAAGAATGACTGTAGGGTCCATCAACAGCCACTGGACAATTGGATAGGACTTTGCAAGAGAAAATCTTGGTTCATTTAATTAGTCTTTCCCATTTGGCACCTTATTTCCGTTGTTGGCACCCTGAAAAAGCGCTCCCCACGTCAAGGGGGTATCTCCCCCCTTTCCTCTCTCTCCCTGACTCCTTCCTTCATCACCCAGCCCTCCCGCTCTGGAAGAGCAGCTTTACCAGTGCACTGGTGTAGGTGGGATCAGAGGTGTCGTCCTCCAGAAAACGCGAGAGGCCGAAGTCAGACACTTTGCAGACCAGATTGCTGTTCACCAGGATGTTGCGGGCAGCCAGGTCCCGGTGCACGTAGTTCATATCGGCCAGGTACTTCATGCCTGCTGCGATGCCCCGCAACATGCCCACCAGCTGGATCACTGTGAACTGCCCGTCGTTTTGCTGACGGGAAGAGAGGAAAAGAGCCCATATGAGAGGAGCAAATTCACAGCCCACCATGGTCAGGCAAACAGCCAGTAGCCTCTTTCTACACTGCATGTCAAGACACAGCTATGCTCCAAGTACGTATGTTCCCTCTCAAAGCAAAAGGGTGGAAGTGGAGAGCTCACAGGGGCTGGAAGTCACGCTCACACACCCCGTGGCATCACTACCATAGCTGCTGTCATCCAAAGGTGGTAGATCTGCCACACTTTACACAGGAGGGTTCAGGAGGGGCAGTCTACTCCTATTAAGCAGGTTATCTCCCTTCAACAAAGTGAATCATCCATTTCAAACTCAGCCCTACCAATAGGCAGAGCAGCTGGAGGTGAAGTCCTGCTGTGTTAAAGCTACACCAGACTGTCCCTCCATGTCCACAGAGGCAGAGTTCATAAATGCATCTGTGGGCACGCATACAGGCAGGCACAGCCTTTCACTAACATGAGTGCACACACACGTAACAGATGACAGCCTTGGTGCCACCTCTGTTCTTGAGGCACAGATCTCTGGACAATGCAGCAGCTGCCGCAGTGCGGGGATGCTGGGCAATGGAGGGCACTGCTGTGCTGGCACAGGGAAAGGAACCTTCCCTCCAGTTCTCCTCCAGCCCAACACACTTTCTGGGGCTGCATGCTCCTGGGATCTCATACCCGCAAGAAGGAATCCAGTGAGCCATTCTCCATGAACTCAGTAATGATCATGACTGGTGAACTCTTGGTCACCACCCCCTCCAGGTGGATGACGTTGGGGTGGTCAAACTGGCCCATGATGCTGGCTTCGCTCAGGAAGTCCCGTCTCTGCTTCTCCGTGTAACCAGACTTCAGGGTCTTGATGGCCACAAAGATCTCTCTTTTGCCAGGAAGCTTGAGATGCCCACTGCACACCTCACCAAACTCTCCTGTGAACAAAGGGAAACAGGTAGGGATTGTCAGGCTCCAACCTCTGCCTTTCTCCCCAAGGGACCCCGCTCCCACGGGCTCCAGCTGTGCCCGCCCTGCGTGCCCCTGGGCCGACCACCCACCATCTGCTCTGTGCTTCCTCCCTCACTCCACACCAAAGACCTCCCTTCAGGTGGACTCCTCATTGGACTCATCACTGGACACTAGATGCACATGGGAAGTCCTTGTCTCCAGCACCGGATGTATTTACTCCTCCAGCACTGGACAACCTTGCTCCTGCTAGTCCAGGCTGGGGCCAAGTGTGAGACCTTCCTGACACTAGTCTTCCCAGTACATGTCAGGCTAAATCCTCACCAAAGCCTGAACCCACAAAGGAAACTGTGCTGCTGAGGGCCAGGCAGACATTCACAATTTACCTACCCGCCCCGATCACCTGCTCGATTTTGACACAAGAGATATCAATTTCTTTTGCAAATTCCCTGACGGCCTCATTGGGATCCTCGTAGGTGAATGGATCAATATAAATCTTCATCCCTGGAGTCACTGCATAAAGGTGAAGGAGAGAGTCAGACAGACAGATGCAAATGGAACGACTGATGGCTGACATCGAGGAAAAGATAAACCCATTGTGTGAGGGTCTTTTTGACCTCAGCAAATTGCATAATCAGGGGCATGAAGCAGACACAGCAAAGCAGTTTGAGAAAGAACATGCAGAGCCACATTTGTACAGGACTACTGAAACTGGATTCTAATGAATATTGGCCCATAAGACATTGTTGGGGCAGTGGAGGGCTACATCGTTAGCTAGGACTGCACACTGTGACCACGGAGAACCACGCATCCTCTGGAGCAGGATTCGGCTTTAGCAGATCCAGAGGAAAAGCAAGAGAAGCATTTGTTCTCGGGAGATGGTGCATAGGCACACCGATGTCACACCAAGCTCATCATGCTGCAACTCTGCAAGAGGACCATTTGTAGAGACTGCAGCTCTGCCCCACTGGCCACCTCTGCGTGTTGCTTCCACCTCAGCACACCATCCCATCAGAGGCATGGGAACGTGGAGGAGGAGACCTGGGCGCAGCACTCAGGACAGGAGATGGTGAAGGTCTGCCTTGGGGTGTAAACTGAGGCACATGCTGCTCTTGACTCTCTACATGGAGATCTATAGGGGAGGCAGCTCTAGGTGCTTGGCACTACTGACGCAGCCACCAAGCCAGACTGACTCCTCCATGGGGGGCTGTGACCCTTCCGGGGGCAGTGCAAGCAGGACAGACAGTCCAGTCTGCCCCCTGTTCTTCTGACAGGTAACCCTGCCTGCGCTGGGTTCCCTCTTGGTAGCCTCAACACGGTCAAGACAAGCTGTAGGAGACACTGGGGACATTGCAAAAGCCAAGCTCTTCCTGCTAGGCAGACCAGAAGACACAGTGATATGCTTATGTGAAAGGCAATGGCCATGGGACTGCTGATGCTGCATCACACGCTACGTACATCGTGGGACAGCTCTTACTTGCGCTCCTGCAGCTCTCCCCTTTCTATACTCCTTTCGCTGGCCTCTGGCTTGCCCCAAAATTGGGGGTATTTGGAAAGCAGAGCTCACAGCCCATTAGATAGGGAGCCCAAGACAGAACCAGAGGCACAACTCCCAGTTCCACATGTAGTATGCTGGTAGGATTCAGGAGAGTTGCTGCAACGCTTACAGGGCTTACAGGCTCCCCGCGCCTTGGCAATTTGCTAAGCATAGTCTGTAGCCTCTCGCCAGCAATCGCTGCTGGGGAGCCGAGCAGGGACTGTGCCTTGAACTGGCATCTGCCATGACAATGTGGCTAAAAGGCACCCCAGGCCCGTTACCAGTTCATCTGCGTCCGGTGGCATCGAGCCTGTTCCAACAGGCACAGCTATTAATGCCATCCCAGCCTGAAGCTGTCATGTTATGCACCAGACCCTGGGACAAAGTGTGAAAGTATGTTTACACATGCAGCACGGACTGACAAACAACTGAGAGCTGCATTTACATAATCTTTTTTTTTTCTGGGAGGTTATAGCAACGCAGCCAGCATGCTGCTGCTCTGGCACAGAGCTGCAGTTCCATGGCCTGCCCTTTCGGAAATGTTTCCCAGGTAAATGCAGAAGCAACAGTGAGTCCTGTGCTGAAACACTACCGATGTTTTCCATTTTCTGAACAAGGCCCAGGTCTGCACAGGAACAAGGTATAAAAAGGACAGAAACCCTGAAGCTGCAAGTATAACACGAGGTAAATAACAACTGAGATTCGAACAAAGCAGGATTATAGCAACAGGTCTCTGGTGAGGGAGGAGAAAGGCATTTCAGAGGGCATGCAGCCAGGAGTTAATGAGGGGAAGGAAGATGCACTGGTTTCTGGATGTGAGGGAGTGTCTTGCAACACACAGGGAGGTTGGAAGAGGGAGGCTGCAAGAGACGGCATGTTATGTATTGTATTATATACCTATATATAGAGATATATCTCATATCTACTATGATTCTGGGAGCACTGGGATGGGCAAAGGCACCACAAGGTATGTGAGTTCCTGCAGAAAGGCAGCACTCTGCAGGACGTGCTGGATGTGAGGGAGTGTCTTGCAACACACAGGGAGGTTGGAAGAGGGAGGCTGCAAGAGACGGCATGTTATGTATTGTATTATATACCTATATATAGAGATATATCTCATATCTACTATGATTCTGGGAGCACTGGGATGGGCAAAGGCACCACAAGGTATGTGAGTTCCTGCAGAAAGGCAGCACTCTGCAGGACGTGGTAGGTGGGGAAAGGGGTCTCACTGCCGCCCACAAGCTGGGTAAAGCTCAGGAGCTGGAGTAGCAAGACAGTGTGGTGGCAGAAGAAGGTGAGGCTTCAGGAGCACGTGGAGGGATGTGTGTGGGATGTCACAGGGGTTTGTAAAGCACGCATGGGTGTTCACTGCATGGCTGGCACCAGACAGCAGCAGGTCTGGAGAGCATGGATTCTGTGAAGCAGAGCAGGGATCTGGATCATAGGGGACTGGTGGGGCATCTAGACAGCACGGAGGTCCTCCTGCCTGCACATGCACACGCCTGCCCAGCTTCGTGGCCTGAGCCCTCCCCGCACACCACAAGGAATGAGTGAACAGGAACACAAACCGAAAAGAGAGCGGACCCCCAGGCCTGGTGGGGGGCCGCGGTACGTACTGTGGCCACTGGTATAGTGCTGCAGCTTGTCGGTGTACTCAGAATCAGCACGCTCAAAGCCACGTCTTCTGGAAAGAAAGGGAGTCCTGAGCACCAGCATGAGTCCGTCAGGGCCAAGAGACACACTGCAGGGGCATCTCTTTCCTCCTTCACCTTCCTGTCCCCACCCGTCCCTCCCCTATCTCTGCCACCTCCTGCCTCCAGCTGCCACCCCCTTGCACAGCCCCAGCCCCGGGTCGTGCGCTCAGACTGACCTACCTGTTGCACACAATAACGATGACGACGACAGCAATGAGGAACACCAGCCCTGCCGCGGAGGAGCCAATGATGAGCGGCAGCTTCTCCTGGACACTGGTCTGGTACTCGGCTGGCATGCAAGGAAGAGGGAACGGGTTACTGTTGCACAGGACGGGTCTACACCAACAAGTCCATCAAGGTCAGAGCACGGCCCTGAACGCTGCCCACATTTGCATGGCTATTGCTAATGGGCTTCCTGCATGGTTTTGGTCCAGAACAACTACGGCTATCCGAGGCATGGCTCAGGTTGGCTATGACAAAGGATGTACTCACTAGGAAGATTGGATGGAGCTATCCCTTTTGGGTGAGAAAGTTTAGTCCCATGGATGCATGCTGTGCCTTGCTCCTTGGCCTCAGGGCCAGAAAACTGTCTTGGCCTGTTCTATTTAGCAGCACAAATTTAGAAAATAAAGACCCAGGTCTGCATTTGTCATCAACAGCTGTGCATGTGAAAATCATAAATTTCATTTCCTTTAAATCCAACTGAGTAGGCATGTCCCCATGCCAGAAAAGCTTGGCAGAAATTGACCTAGATTACATGATTCCCTCATGGACCACCAAGTGCCCACACCTCTCTCCAGGTCTTGCCAGGTTGAATAAATACATGTGGCTCGTCAATGCACCCTTGAAGGGACTAACAGGAAGGGGACCAGCACTGCTGCCAGTGCACCTCCATCTTGTTCAAGTCTCTCTATACCCCGTGTCACCTTTATGCAGAAGCAGCTGAAGACACACTCACCTTCAGTCATGGTCTGGAAATACATCTTGCCACTATACCGGCCATATCCGGCCACAGTACGTGCCCGCACCTGGAAGACGTAGATGGTGCCAGCTTTGAGGTTTTGCACTGCCACAGTGTTGGTGGGGCTCTTCACTGTTGTCGAATTTAACTCACTCAGATCCTGCCAAGAAAATACAAATCTGTCATCAGAAAAATACGTCCAGAATCAGGCACTGCATTTCTAGGAGGAGGAAGCATGGGAGACCAGGGTAGCATGGGGGGGAGAGACCACCATGGGGAGACATGTCATTCTTGTGAGCCTGACTCCCAGCAGGGAGACACACAAGTAGGAATAGGAGTATAGACATCTCTGGGCTCCACCACCTCTCAGGAAAGTCTCTGATGTTAGCTAGAAACCTCAGACTGCTTTTCCAAGCCTTGAGCTCAATGGGGATGGGAACGGCTTCCCTCTTCTGTGCCCATTTTCCCTTAGCACTGTCCTCCTTCCTCACCTCCTCCTTCTGTGCCTGATCCAGCCTCAGCACCCTCTCCATTTGCTCTTCCCCATCTCCCTTTGCCAATGCCACAGGTAAAGCCCACCTGAACACAGGACTTTGGACCTCAGGAGAAGTACTGCTACCATCCCCCTGCCCAAGGCCTGCTTCACCAGGGACCATGGCTAGGTTTTCAAAGCTGGGGAACCAAAGAGCATATTTAAAAGTGACAATGAGACTACTTCCAAATTTTTGTCCTGTCCCTTGTCTGCAATTTTTCTAGCTGAGGACTTGAGCATCCATATCATAACAGTACAGACGGTATTGTGCTTGTGTAGGTGATGCATCCATTGCTGCCGTTAGTAATTGTGCCCCTAGCTGAGCATCCAGAAGCACGAGCGGATGGGCCAGGATCTCCTTGTGCTAGCCATGGTACAAGAGAACAGACAGTCCCTGTCCCTGCCCCAGGGACATGGAGAAACAGGTCAACAGAGGAGGATGAAAGACGGTACTGAATATGGTGCTTCTTATGATCAGGGCAAGGTGGCCAGGTGCCTGGCAGCCATGAAGTCCTGAAAGTCAGTGCAAAGCAGTGATATATGCAAACAGCAGGATGTTTCTGGAAAACAGAATAATCATAGAGAAGCCAAGCTGTGAATATGAGCCCCCATAAAAGGATGCACAGGCACCAATTTTTGACTCAAATTTCTGTAGTTATGTTGAAAGTGTTCATCCTTTCTGGTAATACCTCTAAGATGGCAGGTCAGGCTGCCTTGGCAGGATCACTGGTTAGAACAGATCAGCAGCTGACAGCTCAAAATCTGAGCTGGCAAGTTTACAAGTGAGTCCCTGAGATCTGCTAACTTCAAGCCACTGCAAAGGGCTCAGCAAGCTCCAGAACTTCCACCCCACACAGACTCACCAGCGAGGTGAGATAACCTCATGAGAAGTAAGCAGGGACTGGCAGAAAGAAGTCAGACACATAGTTTGTGCAATCCCATCAAGTGGGACTGAGGGTGTAATGAAGGGTCTGGCCTTTTGTCTCAGCTGTAAAACTTCGCTGGGGGGGCATGGAGGGATTTCTTTTTGTCCCATGCTAACATGAGATCAGAGTGAAACTTCCAGTAAGGAGCAAAGTATCCACTCCTCCTCACCAACTTCTTCTGCAGCGGACTCCTGAAGGACAGAGGGTATTGAAGGGGCAATCAGGCAGAAGGTCCCATCTTGTGATGAACCAAGGTTTCCCCAGACAATGGTGCAAGTTGTGCAGGATGTTGCTCTCTTGTGCTGCTTTGGCTACCTGCACGCAGCAGTGAAGCAGGAATCAAGGGAGAGTCTCCACTCAGCTTTGCACGCTCTTTGCCGAGAGGGTGCTATGTCCTCAGCCTCCTCCACTGCTGGAGCACAGGATGAGTCAGAGGTTGTCTTGCCCACCAATAAATGGTGGAGCTTGCCTCTGGGGGCAGCTGGTCTCCTTTCTTTTCCACTCTCCACATTGCTAGCCATCTGGTGACTTTGCTTTCATGTTCATCCATTTCTAAGAACAGCGCTGGTGCCTTCAGTGAGACGATCCTCTGCACAGCCAGAAGCCGTGGTACCAGCAACACGAAAGGCCCACAAAGAACAGTCATTCACTATGGGGCTCCATACAGCAAACCATGTTGAACCAATGTTCTCCTCATGTTCCTGGGAGAGCCTGGTGCTTTCTCAATTAGTCATCACGCTGGAGCAGAATTGCAAGTGCACTGGCATTTGCAAGATGGATTATACTCATGACCTGGGTTTGTTCAGACTATTTGCCTTGCAGCTGCAAAACAGCTGAAAGACAACTTTCATGGAGTTAATTTCTTCTTGTATTAAGCTTTTGATTGAGCAGTGCTCTGGTGTGGACGGCTGGTAAGAGAGTGGTCTGGCAGGAATGTGTTTCTCCAAGTGTGCAAACTCAGAGGCTTGGAAATGCTGATGGCACATCATTCTTCAGGGTAACGCAGAGCAGCTCTGCAAACGCCTGGGAGACCTCCAGTATTAACAGCATTCAGGAACAGTTTTCTCTTCTAAAAAATACATCATCAGTTTTGTCCATCTGGACTTGGTGCTGAAGGTGCCTGGGTATCACTGGGGCGTTTGGGAATTAGGCTAATGACAATGAAAAGCTCAAGTACAGATACACAGACAAGAGAGATCAAGAAAAGATGAGCACACAGAAAACTGATTGCCTCATTTGTCTGATCAGGCCTCAGCACCCCCTTGGACCTTTCCCAGGCAGGCTGGGAGAGAAATAGGTCAGGAAATGTTTATAGTGTTAGTGCTCAAGGGCTTGGATGAATCCTTCCAGGCCCTTGGATGGCACTAACACCACAGTTGTTTTAAAATCATTTGTCCAACTGTTTGAGGGAACCTTATCCCAGCTCCTGGAGGACTTTAAACTGAATGCAATGGCATGCTTACAAGTCGGTTTATAGCCTGGGAAACTGATGTCTGTCTGTCTCAGAAAGGCGTGCTCCTGCCGGCGCTCTCCTTTAATCCCAGACTGCCAGGAAAGAGCATTTTCATCTCTCCACCCTCCCTTATCAGACCTACTCTTCCCCCTTGGCATATTGCTCAGCCATCACCTCTCCAGCAATTCACTTCAAACATTTCTCCCCCTTCACCCCTCTGGGCTTCTCCAGTAGGTCCAGGGCATCCCAGGTGGTTTAAAGTCCAAATCCCTTTGCTGTTTCTCCCAGCTTGTTTTTTCCAGGGGTTTGGTGGTTGTTTTTTTCTTTTTCCCTGCTGATTTTGGTTTGCGTTTGGAAATCCTAATTCAAAATAACACCCTTCTTATTTTCTCATAGTTATGATTTTCAGCCCTTATCTGGTTCCCCTTCCCCTGAGCCAAATTTAAGCTGAAACCAAAGTCTGATCAACAGAGTTTCTAGACACATAGATAGCCTGTGAAACGCTCAAAGGATTTGCAAAAATTGTTTCTAAAAAGTCATGTTTTATCAGCCAAAAAAAAAAGCCAAAGAAAAATGTCAACCAACTTAATTTGGCAGACAGCTCCTCTGTGCGACTGCACAGCGGCAATCTGCTGTGGTTCCTGAAGCAAACAGAGCCACACGTACAAAGCTAGTCCAAGGCTGTGTGCCAAATCATCACACATATCTGAATTCTGGCCCCCATGGGATGCGGTATGTTAGGAGGGATGCTCAGACGTGGTAACAGGGTCCTGCTAGCCACTCTGGGAGTTGATCTGTGGTGTCCACAGCTCCCGGACTCTCATGGGGAGCACCACTTGTGGAGAGATCTCAAGAGCATTTGCCGTCCCAACCAGGTACCTGATCAAGTGTGTTGTGGTAAGTGTGTCTGGATGCCTCTCACAAGAAAACTGAGCCCCAGGCAGAATCAGTGTGGACCCCAGGCAAGGACTGGCACTGCAGGAAAGCTATCGCAGGGCTCCCTGGCAAGGTTTCCTCTTAATCTTCTTCTTGATCTGTTTTCCCCAGACAGAGCCACCTCCAAGGGTTTGGGCAGCATGGGGGGGGGAAGAGGCATCCCAGCTCTCTCTCCATCCTGGCAGGTGGGAAACACCAGAGAGCAGCTTTGGCCCTAGGCTCAGGGATGCCACTGTCCAACAGTACAGGCTGGAGACCAGGAAAGTCCTCTGAGCCAGCCCAGGAGCAGTGCTTCCAGTCATCCTTGGTACGAGCCCTGGTGACGTCCAGTTCTGGGGATGCTAGGCTCCTGTAAGAAGCTCCTGGGCACCACGAAGGCTACAGCCAGCTTTACTCCCACCTCCACCTCCACCATCAGCTGCCACAGGTCGCCTCTCCCCACCTTCAGCCCCCCAGCCAATCCATGCCCTTTCCCAAGCATTGGTTGGAGACATCAAAGGGTTCCTGGGCCTCCTAAAACATTTGCATTGGTGACCGAACTGGGCACAAGGGATGGGCTGAATGTCTTTAAACAATTAAAAATGGGTAACTAACTTACAGCATACCCTAAGCCCAATCCTTTTGCATAGGACAGCTAATTATTCTTAGCAGTGCTTGACACTGCAGTGGGTCTCCAGTTCCCACACTCTGGAATGAATTTGGCAACGTTGGACAAAAACTACTATGCCCTTTCTAAATGAAGACAACACTCACTTTTTTAATAAGACAAACATTGCCAGGTGCCTCTTGGAGGTAAAAAAGAAACACATGAAGGAGAGTACCATAGAGAACAGACACGTCATTCAGTGTTTGCGTAACAATCTGCACTGATTTGCTCTAACTACATGTGAAAGAAAATCATCATGCTTCCTCTGTACAGGCATTTTTAATAGCATTTAATAATAGCAATGTTATAAATAATCTGTGAAATGGAAACAAAAATATACCTTTGTTTCAGGTATCGTGAACAGCTCTTTTCTGCTAATGCTAAAACACCCATTCCAATTTTTTAAATTTAATTTATGTCTTTATATAGAAGAGAATCAATTCGAAATGAAGAGCCAAAACACTTTTTACACAAGATGCATATGCTGCTATTCTTACATTTGAATTGTTTTCATGCTAATAAAATATAATTTTCTACTGGGGAAAAAAAATTCCACTAGAAACAACTTAACTAGCTCCAGAGATATTTTCTGAGCATTCAGAAGCACATGGGACAGTTTGCAATGAAACATTTTGGAAGAAAATCACCTCTGTACAGACTGGCAGTC